AAAATACAAAAAGTTGGGCATAGTAGTAGATGCCTGTAATCCCAGCACTTGGAAGGTAAAGACAAGAGGATCAAGAGTTCAAAGCTAGCCTCAGCTACACAGCAAGTGCAAGGTCAACCTGTGCCATATGAAACTATTTCTAAAAAAAAAAGAAAGAACTTAAAAAAAAGATACTACTATTCAGTTTATTGCTAAGTATGTAAAAGAGTAAACATTGAAAGTGGATGAGCTGCCGGGCGGTGGTGGTGCATGCCTTTAATCCCAGCACTCAGGAGGCAGAGGCAGGCAGATCTCTGTGAGTTTGAGGCTGGGCTAGACCGACAGCCTCCAAAACAATACAGAGAAACCCTGTCTCGTAAAACCAAAAAAAAAAAAAAAAAAAAAAGAAAGTGGATGAGCATACAATTTATTTGTGTTGAATTATTCGCACTGAAGAGAAAGACAGGCTTAATTCCAACAGGGTAAAGAAACCCAGACAGACTTTGGTAAAGAGCTCCATTCTTTACGATGCATGGTTCCACCTCAAGGCTGCAGACCTTTTGCTCACAAACCACTCAAAGAAAAGAAGGGATTTTGCACTACTTGCAAAGGCTTTGAAATACCAAAAGGAAGGTAGGTACACAACTAACAAACCCATGCGTGTCCTGTGAATCTCACCCAGGGCCAATGTAGCCTTGTGCGAGAGAAAAGAAAAGTTGTCCAATATGCGGCATGATGTCTGTGTGGTTGCTGCCATTCACCAAGCATTTGTTCTCTCCTCTGGAGACCAGGGAGGCTTGCTTGCACTGCCTGACCCTTAGGGTTGAGGGGCGCCATTTACAGCATCCCAGCCCACATGCTGAGAGTGGTTAAGGAATTGGTAAGAGTGTGTGCTGAAAGGAGATGTTCTGATTTTTCTCATCCCATTGGCTGAGCATTCCAGAACCATCCAAGGGGTGGCTGCTGCCTCAGACTGGGGTTTTCAGTGATTAAGAAGAGCCTTGTTGTGGACCTGACAGACTCAGATGTAGGACTGTTATTTTTAAGATGTAAACCTCGGCTGTTTTAACCCATCAAGCATCTTGAGCTGCTCCTCTAAGAGCAGAACCCAACCTACTGTGGACTGTGGTGGTTTGGATGAGATTGGCCCCCATAGACTCAGATATTTGCATGCTTGGTTCCCAGTTGGCTGTTGGGAAGGATTAGGAGGTGTGGCCTTGCTGGAGGAGGTGTGTGACTGGGGGTAGACTTTGAGGCTTCCCCCTCTCTTCCTGCTTCCTGTTGGTCAGGATGTAAAGCTCTCAGCGCCAGGACCATGTCTGCCATGCTCTTCTCTATGATGAAAATGAACTAAACCTCTGAAACTTTAAGCGAGCCCCCAATTAAATGTTTTCCTTTATAAGAGTTGCCTTGGTCATGGTGACTTTTCACAGCAATAGAACAGTGACTGACAGTGTCTTCACAGAATTTTCCTCCAAACACAACAAAGGAATAATTGCAACGAGATGGATGTGGTTTCAATGGCTAGGAATGAAAAGTACAGATGCGGAGGAAAGTCGGAGAGTCTCCTAGAGTCAGTGCCTGGGATTCAGGCCGACTCTGTGAAGTACTAATAATACTGTATTTAGACATCGGTCAGAGTCATGCTAAGTATTAGCTACACCCGATTGTCATACAGTGTTGAGTAGAAGTATACTACAAAAAGGACAAAAGGTAAGTAAAGTCATTGGGGGTTTTTTTGTTGTTTTGTTGTTGTTGGTTTTGTTTTTTGATTCAGGTGATTTTGAGTTAAAATCCCACCTCTGTTTTAATACTCTTACTTACTACCCTTCAGCCTCCTTATCGCTAAGTAGAGCTCAGTGGTTTGTTGTGTACCCTCAATGAGGTCATATGTGGTGAGCAGCAAGGGCAATGCCTGGCATTACTAAATTTTTCCCCAGTCCTTGGGAACCCAAGAGTTGGTCTGTTTTAGAATCCCTGCCTTGTTCCCATGCTTTGAACTTAATGAGTTCCACGACCTACCCAACACAGCTTCAACCTGGTTCTCCCGGCAGCTTTTAGTGATTGTCAGGCCCACACCTCTATTCTCCCTGACTGCTACACCAGTCTGTTTTCCACTGGCTTAACAGATGACCCGAGTGGGGGTGACTTATAAATAAAGGAGATGAGGTGAGCCCACAGAGAGCCAGATGTACAACTCACTCTTCATCTGGCTAACTTCCTGCCACAAGGCAAGACTTAACCAGTGAGAAAAACAATGGAGGCTCTACCACTTTTCATTTCTATCATATTAGCAAGTCCATTTCAACCTGACGCTTGCCGGGAGCAAAGGGTACCTAAACAATGGTGGCTGTCAAGAGCAGATCAACACCCCTGGTTAAAGACATATGCAGGAGCAACCACGCATGATAGTGCATACCTATGGTCCCAGGTCTGCAGGAGGCCGAGACCAAAAGCATCAGGGGAAGAGCAAACCTAAAAGATGGCTCAGTGACTAAGAGTGCTTGCTGCCTTTTCCTGAAGAACAGAACCAGAGCTCAATTCCCAGCACCCATATCAAGTTGTAACTCCAGTTCCAGGTGAACTGAAGCCATCTTCTGATCCCCACAGTCACACATATATACACATTCATAATAAAAATAAAAGTTAAAAAGAAAGATGGATAGACTGGCAAAAATGCTCACACTCAAAGCTGTTTTCAGTGTGGCTGGGGTGTGGCTCGGCGGTAAAACACTTGCCTAGCATGAGCAAAGCCCAGGGGTTGGTGACGAGGGAAAAGAGAAATTCTTTTAGTTTTACCAAAGAATCTAAGGATCTCCTTAATATGTTACACAGGGTGGTGGCGGTTTTTCCATAACTTTTGTAACAAATTGCTTGACACGTGAACACGACCACCTGTCCTTTAAGGATCAATAGAAAATTAGAATAATCTAGAATTGGAGAAATTATCTTCTGCCCACATTTTTCAGAGAGACTAGAGAGCAGTAAAGACAGCCCTCTGTGCCCCTCCATGATGGAAATTCACCTTCAGGGTTAGTAGGCTAACAGCAGATGTACGTGAGCGCCTCCTCCATCACAACCAAGATCTAAAAACCCAAGTCTAAACTCTGAATACACACCAGGGCTCACAGATCCACAGCTCAGAGAAAAACACAAAATTCTTCTTACCGGGCTAAAAACAGGGTCTACTGACTCTATGAAGACACATGTATATATTAGAGAAATTCTTTCCCCAAATAAACCAGGGTTTATTATAGTATAGAAGTAAAAATCTGTGCTAAAACTATGTCAACCTGAGGCTCCAACAAAATGTGGAGTTCGTCTCTCCTGTCTCCTCCCATCACACAGTGTGCTCACAGGAAAGCATCGGGGCTCCAAATCTGCATGCTACAAATGTAGTGACTGAGACTACAAGTTCAATGTCTGATCTCAGACAAAGCAAGTAGATAGAAATAGTCTCTGTGCCTTTCCAGTCCCCGTTCAGAATGGCACCCACCCTGCTTTCCTGAGGATGCAGCTATCCCAACTCGCCCACGGTGGGAGCCAGTATCCAATGGAAAGCTGACAGACCCAAAGCTCCAAGCTCTGGTACAAACCTGAGCCTGGTAGCAAGCGAAGTCATTGGCACATCTCCACTCCTCATGGGTACCTACTGCCAGCCTTCATGCCTGCCACATACCCATCACTCTCCTGAAGTCCACTCTCCGGGATTCCAGAAGGACAGTACCCAGCACAAACCAAAGTCAGTTGTTCTCTCATTTAAAGAGCTTTTAGATCAGACCAAGACAGGAGAAAGGGGTACGATATTATCAGCTGTATTATATATGTGGATTAAAATACCATAGCGAAGTCCTTACTGTGTGCAGTGATTTTTTGGCAAGATAGAGAAACCCTATTGGAACAGTCTGAAAGAGGGAAAGGAGGAAGAGGAGGAGAACAAGAAGTTCTTTGTCAGTTCCCTGCTGCCCTCAGGATACTTGGAAAATTCTCATCAAGGTAAGGTCAGTCCCAACTCTCTCTGACAGCACATCCCCACTAGCCTTGACTCTACAGCCCCATGGCCAGAAGATCTACACTGAAGATACATACCTCTTCTGAAGACCTCTTCCTGCCTTAACACCTCAGTATTAACACCTAAGTAGTAGGTATTAAGGTACCTACTCAGAGGCCTTCCCTAGCCCTCAAGGCAGGTTGGGGGCACTGTCCACATGGTAGCTATTATGACTCTATCTCTGCATACATGTTAAAATATCTGGTCACAATTACTGGGCAATATGTTTTCCATCTTCAAGCTTCCATTGTACTTTCAATAAAAGGAGTATGTAAATGTCTTCCTGGGTTGTTGTGGAGATAAAATGGAATGGCGCCATGGGGCATGAGGCAGATCAAACTATTGAATCGTATCTTCCCCATCTCTACCCACAAGGTAAAAGGACTCCTTTAATGTGAGAGTATTACTCTTCTCTGGGTTCTTTATAGTTAATACAACAGGGCCCAATAAATGTTGCCAGGGAGGAGAGAGGCAGGGAGGCCCTCAGTTGAGGAAGAAGGTTGGAGGGGGAGTTATGGAATAAATGAATATAAATAGAAACCAGAGAAAAGGCCCTGATTTATTAGACCTGAGTATAAACATTGGTCACAAGACCTTGAGGATGGGGGCTGGAGAGATGGCTCGGACAGCATGAGCATTCGCTTGCTCTTCCAGAGGACCTGAGCTCGGTGGTTCACACTTATAATCTGACATCTGGCCTTTCTTGGGTAACCATGCACACAGATACACATGCATACACATGAATGAAAATAAAATATTCTCCCCAACTCTAAACTCGACAGATAACACTGAGGGAAGAGGGAAAGATGCCGAGTCATAAAATGGCTGGCCCACCGTAACGTTCCCCAACACAAAGGGGGAGCAAGGTTTTTAATAAGACAACTCCCGTTTCGGAGAAAGTAGCTCCCTTGGTACAGGAAGCCCTGTTTCACTCCCCAGCACTGAACCAACCAGGCCCGATGGCTCTTACCTGCAATCCCAGCAACTGGAAGGTGACGGCCTCGGGAGAATTTTTCTCTTGAATTTCCTCACTCCTACCCCACCTTCAGAAAGAACTAGGGTTGGTACAAAGGGCGGCAGAAATAAGCTGGTCATTATTTTAGGAGAGCTAACAGGGTGCCTAGTGAGGGACTCAAGAGAGTCCCTCACCACCCCAGTGAGGCGTCGTCCCCTTACTTGCTCCGGTCCTTTGGCTGCTATCAATGTCCTTCAGAAGAGGGACGAGGAGGATAAGAAGCTGTTTCCCTGCCGGTGGGTCGTGAGTGAGAATGAATGGAGAGGAAGCAGAGACTGCTGAGAACTATTGCCTGGCTACTTCCCTGGGCTTGGCCTACCCCCACTTTCTCCGCCCATTATCACCGCAGACAATGGAGAGCAGATGAGCGAATAAAGGGTTTGCAGGCCCACTTTCTGACCAAAGCCAGGGCAGATGTCTACTACCTGGAAATGCAGAGGAAAGGAGCCAGGCCGGAAACCCAAGAGAGTGACATCATCGAGGTGGCAGAAGTTAAAATAGGAAAGTAACTTCCCTGGGCAGAAACAACAGAGAGATGGTTTTCCTGAAAGACGAAGATCACGGAGACACAAGATCAAAATCTAAACAGGAAAGGTGCAGCCAGATGAACAGAAGGGGAAAACCATTTGGCAACAAGACTATCTTTTTATCTTAACACCGCTGGAAACTGGGACAACCTAGGAAAATCTATGAAGGCCTGTGATCATTTAACTGGCAAACTTGTCTCGCTTTGCCACAGCAAAGGGGCTCCCTGGGAGGAATGCGTGCTTTGACGGAGAGGGAGGCAGCTGGCAGAATTTTCTTAGCTCTCACCAAGACTCTGGCTTGGCTCTCCCTTCCCTCTGTTCCTAACAGAGATGAGGCCACAGAAGCACTGTAATCCATTCCCAAATGTGCCCCTGCTCTAGGGCAACGCTGTTTCTCTAAGTGAAGGATGGAGTTCAAATGAGACTCGTCTATAAAAGCCGTTTTATTTTTATGGATCAGTAAATGTTTATTGAAGTGAGCGAGTCCCTGTCCCTGTGGTAGCACTTGGCAGATCTGACCTCCCTCGTGGACGGAGCTGGGGAAGGGGCAGGAAGACAGAACTTCAGCTGACCAACTAGCCAAGTATTTGGGACAACAAGGCTTTTAGAGGCTGACTCTAGCAACAGCTGTCACTTACGCTGAGTTTGAGCTAAAATGACTTAGACTGAACCCACACAGAAGAAAAACTGGGAAAAAAAACTTTTAAGACCGGTGAAGATGAACAAGCCGAAGCTAGAAGGATCTCATTCAACAACTCAAGAAGGGTCCTCTTCCTTCCTTCCCAACAGAGCTAAACTAGCAAGGAGCCTCTGATTACTTAAATAAACAAGTGGAAAAAATGTGTGAAGTGTGGTGTTGGGGACTATTTGGTTTTAAATCCTGAAACAGACAGACTTAATCCTGAGGATCCTAAATCTGTCAGTTACCTAACTCAAGCAGACAACCGTTTCTCTCTTTCACTGGCCAATAATACAGTCACCAAGGATTTATCTAATGGGCTAAATGGACAGCACTGTGATAAGAAAATGAAAAGGCTAGGCAAGAGCTGTGCCCAAGAGGAGACAGGAGCCAAAGCAGACTCTGCTGAAGCACAGAAAAACAGTCAAGTCACCTGGCACCATGACTGAGTGGCAGAGGCATCAGGAAACCACCAGACAGCATGGATGAGAGGACAGCGATTTTAAAACAGCAAACAGATTAGAAACATCGAGATGGACTGGAGCTGTGGCTCAGTGGTAGAATGCTTGCCAAGCACTGAGGAAAGACCTATGTTCAATCCCAAAATTACAAGAAAAAAAAGGCCAGAACTTCAAATTAATGCAAAATACTACAGTGGTTCAAGGCATGTTGAAATCCAGCAGAGTAGCTAATTCTTGAGAGTGAGGCAGAAGGAGCCAAGAATTGAAAGCATCCCACTGTGGTGTTATTCCAAAGCCTGATTTTACATGTCAGAGGAAGAAAATTTTGAGTTGCATTAACTGTAGCAGAGAAGAGCACAGTTACTTTTAACCAAGGGTAGATGTGTGCAGTGTTTGCTGCTACAGAACCCAAGAAGTGTGTCTGAATGTCTTTGCTGGCTGTGGCAGGGGCAGAAATGTAATCTATGAATCTGAAAGTTCTGGCGGAATAAGGGACCTAATCTATGTGATCCAAATAGTGTGTCCAAACGTCAGGCTTCTAGGGAGTTAACAACTGGAAGAGGCGAACACAGGCCTCTAAGGAAGGGACAGGCTCGGAGCCACATTCCTTCACTGGGAGGGTAGAAAGGACCCGAGGATGGACAGGACTACTGGAAGCCAGGGAGGCTTCAGCCCAGCTGTTAGAGCCACAGTTACACACCCGCTCCTGCCCTGTGCCCAAACCCACAACCAGAAGGGCACAGTCTGCTCTCAGGACATTCCATCCCTTGGATTACTTGATGACGTCTCTGTCTCCTACCATCCGTCAAACAGGGTGCAATTTTCTAAAAGCAGGGAAAACCCTTCCCAAGAAAATAAACAGCATGGAACAACCAACAGTCCCTTTCTGTCACCTATTCGGATTATGTAATTAACGATGAGGCCAAACTTTCACACTGACAACACGAAGCGGGCCCTCCGAGCTCATACAAGTCAGAGTACTGTCCTGAAAAAGCTGTTGTCATCGCCCACTGGAAGAGGCATGATATTCACCTCCCTCACTCAGAGCAGTCATTTAAGTCCAGGGCGGGGTGTGTGTGTGTGTGGGTGGGGGTTGATGATACAAACCCTGCACAGGACATCCCACCCAACAGTAACAATCAGAATAACAATAAGAAACGGCCTTACTAATATGTTACACTACCCCACATAGAAAGGCAACACTGAAAATTTTTGCAGCCTCTGTTGACGATAATTTAGGTGAACAAGTTGTTTTACTGGATGTGAAACGGGGCAATCAACGGTAGCTGGCATCACTTAGCAGCTACCCAGTGAAGGGGCAAACTTCCTCCCCTCTTATCCCTTCACCACTTAACCATGAGTTCCCCTTTCAGGGGTGTTCAAGAAAAAAGCCACTGACAAGACAGACTGGAGGACCAGCAAATGTCTCGGTGGTGAGGAGCTTGCCGGCAAGCTTGACGACCCGAGTTCCATCCTTGAGACAACAGGCTCCTGAGAGTTGTCCTGTATCTTCCACATATATGACATGGCACATGTGTACACATACACACATGCATAAGGACAAATAAGACATTTCTTTAATTTTTTTTAAAGATTGACTAGAAAGCAGGGCAGTCGTGGCGTACACCTTTAGTCCTAGCACTTGGGAGGCAGAGGCAGGCAGATCTCTGAGTTCGAGGCCAGCCTGGTCTACGTAGCAAGGTCCAGGACAAGTTCCAAAACTACACAGAAAAATCCTGTCTCAAAATATCCCCCCCCCCAAAAAAAGATTTGACTAGAACCTCACACAGAGAAAGCACACCAGCAGCTAGCTAATCCAGCTATACTAGTCTGACTGAGGCAAGAGTAAAAAGGCTGAGGGTTGCTATACAGCCTGCTTTAAATGGTTACCTGGATCAGTGTAGAATAGTCACCTCCCATAAGAACTGTACTTCGTTCTTTTAGCCCTTGTGAGGATAAATGAGATGATATGGATAAGGTACCTGGCACACGAGGAACTCAATAAATAAATATTAGAAACTATAAAGCAAAAAGCACTGTTCCCTGATGCCTATCAACTTCCTTTGAATCGGGAGGATTGGAAAAATAAAGTGATGAGTTTTGCAGCCTAATGCAGAGAAGTCTGGACTATCCCCAACTGCAAGTCACTTGCTGCAATCATGTGGAACCTGTCATAACTCCACAAGCACTCATGCCTCCCGACTGCAGGGGACCTGTGCAAGAATTCCACAAAGCCTCTTGCTACTGATCATAGGAGAGATCTGCCAGTGGTCAAGCATTCTGCCAGAGGGATGTCCACGTGTGAAAGGGAGTCCTGAAGAAAACCACAGCATCTAAATAACCTAAATGAAAATGTTATTGCCCAACATGGACCAGACTCTGTAAAACCAGCTCTTATTGAAATATTAACTGCAGAGGCTCTTCCTAAGCCCCACCCAGCAATCCTTTGTGTTTGGATAGGCTTACTAATTCTTCCAGGTGTTTGGGAGTTTCAAAAACGGCCAGGTAAGACACGTGAGTAGCAAGCTCTGTTACTATGCACTTGATAATTTTCTATTCACCAGAGTGCATACACGGTACGCCAGGTTCACATTTCACCTGGAACACTGCAGTCTCATGGGTTGGCAGGGGAAATGTAAAGGGTAGCAGGAAGAACACACGTCCAGACTCCAGAAAGAAATGACACATTTACAGCAGTCGTGAGACCGTGTGGCCAAAGACAGTGGCCAGACGACTGGTTATTTTTATTTAGTATTGCAACTGCTCAGCTTGCTAAGAGATCAGACCATGACATAATTTCAATGGTTGCTGAACCATTCCTTCTGAAAACATGAAAAGCATGAGGATTATGCCTGTCCACCTTGCACAGGACCAGACTTTCTGACAATTCCTAGTCGGCAAACTACGCACTCTGAAACAGGAAGCGCAGGTGCAGCCCTTATTTGAAGGCGAGCGAGTTAATGTTCTACCCTGCTGATTGCTCAGTTTACTTCACTTGATACAAGTTTTTATGACAACCTTTTATTACCATGGAAATGTACATCTATAACTCAAAGTAATAAAGGCAACTTGTAAAAGTCAGAGGTTTTTTATTATTTAATACATTCTAATCAAATAGTAACAGCAGTAAATAAACACTCTGAAAAACAGGCAGGTACCCCCTATATTTGGAAGAAAAGTAAGTCAGTATTCTACATGGTAGAAGGGAGACAGCTGTTGATGTCCGTGGTCAGACAATTCAAGGACAACTTGGAAACTTCTGGAGCCATTTCCAAAAATCAATGGCAATAGGTTAGGACTCACAGCTACTTCAAGGGGTAAAATGTCTCTATCTACATTGGGTTTTATTATCGAGGATTGAGTTGCACCTGTATAGCATGACATTCTTGTCTTTAGCCTTAAAGGAAAAGAGAGAAGTCTTTTCTGTTTGCACCAGTTTGAAATGTTTCTGTAAGTAAGGCTGCCTTGAAATGGATTTACTACAGTACTCGTTCACGGGAGAGTTCATTATGTGTAGTAAAAAGACAGATACAGGATCTCATGGTGACTGTTTTTGGTTGATTTGGTTAATTGCATAAAATGAGGGGTAAATACAAGCATGAGCAGTTTAACAAAACTCCTACTAGATACATCAGAATGCAAAACATACCATGTTCTAACACAGACTGATCACCAGGCATCTAGAAGTGAAGCTAAGCCTGGGTCAGCCAGGGTCTTTTCATCCTTCAGTAATCCACACGGAACTGTCTCTCCTATGGAGCTTGGACTTCTGACCCCGTGCATAGGAACCCGAAAAAGGCAAGTCGTTCTGGTAGCAATTTTCCCTCGCCTTTACTTGGGACATTTCGTTTTTTTATTTTAAAGGGCCATTCAGTCTTGATCAGCCATAGGAAAGGAGGCATCACTCAGCTGAAACTACCTAGGGGGATTTAAAAAAAATACCTAGCTACATCTTCACACCTTTAAATTAGATTGAGCTCAGTTGCCCTTAGTAAAGAATTCTGCGCCATTATCCAGAGAAGGGGCCTCCGGGTTCTCATTTACATAGCTGCATTCAGAGATATTCTATATGAGGCATGTGTTCAAAGGAGAGAAATACTTATACCTGGAATTTATATTCTTCCAAGTAATCTTTTAGTCTTGTTGGTAAAGGCAGTCCCCAGATGGCACCGGTACATTTGTTAATGGTGAGTCGACAGAAGTGCTGCAGAGAGGGTGCTGCAGTGTACAGAGGTTTGGTCAGATACAAGTGGACAGTCCCATTCCGGGGAGCTTCCGGGCCTGTCCGTTTGTCCTTGCACATCTGAACATAGTAGTCAATCAGATGAACCACACTGTCAAACTGTTTAAGCTTGGACTTGACACATATGATAGAATCCAATCGGAATTTCCCATCTTGGTACTCAATCCGCAGGTTAGTCGGTCCAGCTGACGTCTTAACAGATATAGTTAGTAGGTAGTCTGAGTGCGAACTATCTCTAATCAAGAAAGTTCCTTCTGGCGCCTCTTTTAATTTCTCTTTGGCTTCATTAACAGTCATACTTCCCCAGTACCATCCTGGGGGTTTTCATTCAAAAAGAAAAAAAGAAAAGAAAACGAAACAGTTATTATAAGGGTTTTTAGAATACGGTCTGTACTTGACAGTGATTTTTTTTCTAGTTTTGTTTTGTTTGAGACAGGGCCTCCTGTAGCACAGGCTGGCCTCAGTTTTACTTTGTAGCCAAGGATAGCCTTGCTTCTGGTTCTTCTGCATGCACCTCTCAAGTCATGGAGCTTACAGGCCTGCACCACCAGGCTCAACTCCGTTTTCTTGTTATACCTCCTTTTCAAAAATGCCCGTGACTGAAAGTGTTCCGGGGACCATCACAAATCTTTTGGTAGGCATTTAATAATAACTTAAGTCCATTCTAGGCACAACTGTAAGCCAATATTTTTTCTTTTTTAAATGATTTTCTGTAGCTCTTCTTTAAACTATGTTAAGATTTCCTTCTAATGAGCCAAAAGAACTTTTGCAATATGATAGACATATTGGCTGAGGAGAAAAATGACACTTTCAATATAGTTTAATTGAGACAAAAAAAAACCTACTAAGTAAGTTAGAAAAAAAGTTAGGGAGAAAAGTGAAAACATATCTCCAATATTTGCAATAAAATCAAAAGCAAGTTTTTTTGAATGGTTGGTACCCCCTTCCCCAGACCTGCCCCCAAAGAACTTGTAATGTTGATTCTCTTTTGGAAGCTCTAGATAGCACTACTGTTGACTGCTTTGATTAAAACTAGTTACGTTTGGGGAAAGAGAGCGCAGATACCTGGCACTTAAAAGTTTACAGCCTTCACTATATTCTTTTGGACTTTGCCCTAGTTCAAATTGTGTTACAACCCCAGTTCTCTGAAATCTCTATTTGATTGTTTTGGTCATATCCAGAATCTCGCTAACAAAAGTGACACAAGACACTTCATTTAATAACTTTGGACAATGTGCTATCCATTTCGGCCGACACCCCCCTCATGCACACACACCGCCAGCCAATACATGATATACCCGGGAAACTTTCCCGAGGAGGAAAAGCCCGGGGCACCGAGAAAAGACTGGAACTTCCCCCCTCCACCCCAGTCCTTACTGCTACCAAAAGTTGTCTTGCCTCATGACAGACTTTAATCACAAGGATTGTTTTCGGAACAAAAATAATATATATATATATATATATACTTTTTTTCATTTCTTTTCCTTCTGATGCTGGGAGCCGCTTCCGCACTGCACAGAGTGGCGCCCGAGACAAGGGGTACCTGGAGGCCGTCCTGGGCAAGGCCCTTGCTGGCTGCTCTGGGCCATGCTATCCCGCAGCTGCGCTCCACGCAGACTGTCTGTCTCCGAACTTGGCTGCCACCGTCCCGGGTTGCGGCGGCGGCTGAGCCCAGGAGCGCACGCAGCCCAGCCGAGAGGCAGCACAGCCCACTGGCCGCCCGCTCGCCCTGCGTTAAGGGAGGCGCCCGCCGCTTTTCTCCCACGCGGGTGCGAGCCGGAGCGCCTAAGCCCGAACCCCGGCCGAAAGCAGCCCAGGGTCACCGCACCGAGAGACCATTCCCAAGGAGCCCAGCTCGCGCTCAGTCCTCCGCCCGAGCCCCAGCGTCCCTCCACTTTGCTTTTGTCGTCACCTAAGATCCCGCCGAGCCGGCGGGCATCCCTTCCCGCGGCTCCCGGGCTCTGGAGCCCGGACCGGGCGAGAGGAGACAGAGTCCCATCGCCTTCAGTGATCCCCACCTGGGCCCGCGTCCCAGCCGCAGTCCCAGCCACTGCCTTGGGGAAGGCGCCCGGTCTCTCCGGGCACTCCGCGCCAGCCGCCAGCTTCCTACCTGTTTGACTGAGCTCGCGCAGGGCCTTGGCCAGACGCGCCGCCTCTGGGGACTGCTCCTCCGCCGACCCCGCGGTCCCCCACTGGCTCCGCGTCCTGTCCGCGCCATTCCCGGAGGGCTCCAGGCACCGCAGGGTCATGGGAGATGAGTCAACACGCCAGGGACAGGTGGTCGCCCGAGCTGGGGCCAGCGGACCTCGCGTCCTCCTGGGAAGTCACAAGGTATCCCAAAACGAGTCTCTGCGGGGTGTCCGAAATGGTGGCGGAGGGGGAAGGGGTTGGAAGCAGCCGGTTCCTTCTCTCCAAATCCCGGCAGAATGGTGTGGCAAAGTCTCTCGCAGTCACGGTCACCCACAGATGGCCTGTGAAGAGACAATGGGCAGAGATTGGGTCAGTCTGGACTGGACCCCTAGGGCCGAGGTGGGGGTGGGGAAACAGACACGTGGAAAATCCCAGGGACTCCTCCGCCTGCGTGCTTCTGTACCATTTAACCCCAAGCATCCAGTTAACGCCCTGCCCAGCTCTGGGGGAAAGAAGACTAAAAAGAGAGCAGAGGCGCAAGGCACTGACTAGAGTTGGCCTGAGTGGAGGGGTGCGGTGGGAGACAGGGTGAGGGTAAACAAGGTGCTTTCCCGCCCGAGAACTGTGCTGGAATCACACACAAGCAGCTTAGGAGACAGTCACCTGCGGGTCGGGATAGGCCTTTGTCACGAGCAAGTCTGAAAAAAACATAATAAATGCAAACAACATGGCAGTTCTCTGCACTTGGCTTTTCCATCCTACATTTCGAGCAGCCCTAGGGCCCTTGGGAGGATGCATCCGGCAAAACCTGGTTCCACGCCCTAAAGCGCCGCAGGGCTCCTGGGTCGCCAGCCGAGGGTGCTGCGGTGCGCTAGCGTTGCGCCAGCCGCTGCAACCCCGCCGCGGACGCGGCCTCGTCCCCACTCCTGCTGCTTCCCGGAGCACGCTCCGGACAAGGACGGGGGGCGCGGCGGCGGTCGCTGCCAAATGCGGAACGCTGCTTCTGCAGCTGCCGCCGCGGGCGCTGTCGAGGAATCCGCCCGAGCGGGCAGCCCCCGCCCGAGCTCCAGACGAGGCCGGGGTTGAGCCCGCAGCGGCGAGCGCAGCGGGACGTGCCATCAACCGGCACCGAGGTCTTACCTCCTCCGCGGCGACTGCCGCCTCCGCACCAGGAAGCCTCCCCAGCGGACATGGGGCGGGGGGAGGGAGAGCCGGGGAAAGGAGGGGTGCCCGTCTGAGTTCTCCCCTTGACGTTTATTTCAAGAACCAGATGCCTGGGGATGCAACCGGCTCTGCGCTCGGTAGAGGCAGGCGGATTCTGCGGCGCCAAAGGCAGACAAAAATCCCAGAGATCGTCGCCCCGCGCACCCACCCCTCGCCACCCAGGCTGACACCCTTGCTCGCTAGTGCCGGGTTTCCCTCCAGCTGTGGCGGAGGAGATGGGCGAAAGAGGGGGGAGCAAGGGCGGAGGCTGGCGAGGAGGAGCGGGAGATCAGGTTATTAGGATTATAAATTTGGATAGCAGTTGTTTGGGGGTGGGGGCTCTGAAGACTTCTCATGGCCGAGAATGAACCCGGGAGAGGAGGCAGTTGCGTCCCAATGCGGCAGAGCCGCGACTCGAACTCTCCCCGGGAGCCCTAAACTCAGGAAGCCCAGGCTGTCCGCCCGCTCCAGGGCTCGCACCCCGCCGCCCTCTCGCCCCCCCCTCCCCGCCCCGCTGCCACTGTCCCCCGGGCGGAGCCTTCGGGCTTCGCGAGCGGTACCTGCCGCAAGCTTCCGGGCTCGGGGCACAAGGGATCTGGAGTCCGCGCGCCCGGAGCCCCGGCGCGCACTGTCCGCGCCCCGCGCAGCGTTGGCGGCTGCGGGAGGGAAGGCTCATGCTTCAAGGGAAGCCCAAGGCCCGCGAGCCGCAGCGGCGGCGAGACTTGGCAAGAGTTAAACGTCTGTCCCCGGAGCAGAGTGTGCGCGCGACTTCCCAGCCCCACGCGCCTCCCTCCCTCCCTCGCTCCCCGCCTCCCGCCCCTCGCGCCCCGCCCGCTCGCCCGGCCGCTGCGGAGGCCGCTTTCCAGGAACTTTCCAGGAATCCGCCTCACGTGACCGCAGCCCCCGCCAGCGCTTTAAAGAGGCTCGGGCGCTAATGCGCAGGCTTCAAGGGAGCCGGCGTGAGAGCCGGTGCGGGTGCCGGTGGTGGCTGCGGGGTGGAAGCCTGGGACTGACTGCGCCCTCCTCTGACCCTGCACCTCGGGGTGCTCGGGGACAAGTGGGAGAAGTGCCCAGCCAATGCCTTTTAGGTGGCCAGAGCCTGCCCCCATCCGCATCAGCTCAGCACCTTGGTTCCCCCCCCCTCCCCGAATAGCAGTAGCCCCTGTCTCCAGCCCGCCAAGGAGGAGGGGACCTTTTCTCCAGCCACCGGCCTGCCAGACGCCAGCCTCTGCCGTACAGGGTGCATTGACAAGCGGGAGGCGGGACAGGGGTGGGGGTCCCTCCCGCTCTAAGACACACGGAGACGGGGCAAGCAGGCTACTGCCCAGGTCAACGACCACTCCCGGGGGCCTCAGGAAGCGAACCAGAAGCGGTCCCTCCACCACTGTCCTAGAAGAGCGAGCAGAGACCAGCGCCTCCTTAAAGCCATGCAGACTGCTCTCAATCCCTCCCCCTGGAGCTCGGGCGGGTAGTCCCCTGCACCAGCCTTGCCCAGCTCCTCCCATCCTCTGCAGTTCAGCTCAACGTGTCCTTCCGGAGGCTCGGAGAGGTCCACCGGCCCACCTGCTTGGCCTACAGAGGAGTTGCCCTTACCTGTGCCCCGGTGGGTTGCGGGATGACCGGCCCAGTGCGTCTGTCTCTGTGATGCCCTGCAAAGCTGAGGACACGCAATTCTGATGGAGCCCAGCACCTTTTCCTATTGGGACCCTCACCTTGCACTCTGTCGGAGGCCACTTGGCCTCCAAGCCCACATTCAGGCACGCTGGGTCCTGAAACGTGACCCACTTTAAATGTGACTTACTTTTTTTTTTTTTACAGAAAACAAACAAACATAAAAACCCCACTCATGTGTCTTGAAACAGCAAATAAATAAATAAATAAATAAATAAATAAATAAATAAATAAATAAATAACACTCATGGGAAAACCGGACTCAAAATTTCGATAACCATTTTTCTTTGAAATACTATTCTGTTGCATCACTGCTCAAAAGCTTGAAAGGGCAATGGCCAGTTTTAGTTGAAGCTGTGGCTGTGGGGAAGTTGGGCAAGGGAGGCCAGGAGAGGGTGGGGGAGGCGCAGTTCCCAAGCCTTGCCTGGTGCCCCGCCTGCCGGCCCTGGAAGGAAACACACCCAACCATCACCAGGGCCAGGAGCCCTGGACCAATTTTTATCCTCAGTGATTTTTTTCTCTTAAATAATTCTATACACGTGACAGATCGGGGAATGAGGGGACATAGCGCAGCTTCCAAGGACTAGGTCACCGACAGATTCGTATGCTTAGGGCTGTGTTCTTGGAATCTTTGATAAGAAGGGTGGAGCTTCCTGAAGTTTTAAAAAACCAGTGCAAAGCAGTTGAGTAACCGGACAAGGTGCTCACCTACTTCACACCCCTAACGTTTTCTGTAAAATTAAAAGCTAGATGCAAGCTGTTGGTGAAAGGTTAGCATGAATGACCAAATCAGATCCCCCATGGGGTCTCTGTGGAGCTGGAGAACCAAATGAAACTTTCTAAACCACTAAAATGTCTGAGGTTCACTAAGGTCAGCATTTTCTGTATTGATGATTTTTTCTTGGTAGAGAACCTCAGAGAAAGTGCATACCTATGCTTCTGCGCTCCTAAAAGTGTGTGTGTGTGTGTGTGTGTGTGTGTGTGTGTGTGTAGAAATTACACTAATTCCTATTTACTTGGCAATTGGAATAAATAGTCTAGCTGTGTTACTTTACTGATTGCTATGACCAAACACCTGGCAGAGGCAGTTTAGGGGAGGAGGGACTGGTTTTGACTCATGGTTTACAGGACTCGAGCCAGCACAGACAAGGAAGGCCTGGGAGCTGGAGCACCCCCTCCACAGAGGCAGGAGTTGGTGGTGCAGTCTGCTGGAGAAGAGGGCCAGGAAACAGGAATAATTGGTTACTTCTACCACTACTCCAGGGCCCCACTCAAGCAACCCACTTCCTTCAGCAAAGCCCCAGCTCCTAAGACAGAAGTTCTCAACCTTCCTAATGCTGCAACCCTTTAATACAGTTCCTCATGCTGTGCTGATCCCCCCACTCCACCCATAAGTTTATTTTGTTGCTGCTTCATAACTGTAATTTTGGTACTGTTATGGATGCTTACTGTTACATAAGCATTTTTGGAGACAGAGGGCCGACAATGGGGTCACGGCCCACAGGTTGAGAACCACTCTCCTAAAGGGTTTACAGCCTTCCAAATCAGTATTGACAGTCAGGAAGCAGGGTTAGTACACATAAACCTGTAGGGGATATTTTTGCATGTTTGCCTCCGGGCCTTTGCACAGACTCGTTTCTAGAATGTAGATACAATGCAGAGCAGACGGCCACCATTCACATCATAGCTCAGTCACCTCAACAGGGAGTCACTGACCACCCACAAGACCACTGAGGGCACACAGCTGACTGTCGGGACACCAAGCTATGTAGGAGTTTTCAACTTTTGTTTCTAGAATATTTCATGCCCAGCATTTTGTCAGCCTCTTTAATCCTCCAGAAACACTGTTAGAGTCATGTAGCAAATGTCTATGAGATCCTGGTAAGCAAAAAGGGAAGAACAAAATTATGCAATTATGCAATTTGCATGTGGGCAAAACCAGGAGGATATGTGGAGAAAGGAGAAGTAAGTATTTGGGGATAACAGACTAGGGCTGAATTTTAAAATCTGACATTCTTTCATCTAGTAGTTTTGACAGTCATTATTTTGCCAAAGTCACTTGTAAATCAATGTCACCAATTTCCCTGAAGCAGGGTCTATCTTATTGACCTTGAACTTCAGCATTGAAGGACCCACCTCCTGAGCTCTCACCCTGACCATCAGCATCACTTCTGGAGATGTCTAGTAGATATTGAATATCCCAGACTGAGCCCTGATGACCCCCACTCAGAACAGAAACACACCCTTCCTTTGCACTATCCTTGCCTCTCAGGCCTCAGAGTTTCATTCGCTCAGGTCAAAAGCCTCAGAGCATTGCCCAGCTGATTGCCTTCATACACACCTGCTGGCCAATCTTTCCATTCTGATCTCACAATAAACTTAGACTTGAAGTGCTGGCCGCACGTCTGATGCACGTCAGGACAAACTGCCCAGATCACTGTCATATCTCCTGAGTGCCTTCCTTGCCCCCTTCGCAGCTTCTTGACAGAGAATCAAGTGTAAATATGTTGAAACTGGGTGGTTTCACTTTTTCCTCTGGCCCAAGCCAAATGACTACATGGCACCCAAGTAAAAGACTAAGTCCTGTCATTTGCAAGGTCTTATTAGACCCATTCCCACTTGACTTTTGTATCTTAGCTCCTGGTGCTTTGAGCCCCAGTCAGTCAGCTTCAGTCATACTGGACCCCTTGTCATTTAGAAAATACTCCAGGCTTGCCTCTTCTTCGAGTCTTGCTGTCTCCTCCTCTTCTTGGGCTTTTTCATTTATCTGTGTGGATGCTTCCAGTTTCTTTAGATCTTTATTTAATGTACCTTTCTTATCAAGACTTGCCACCCAATTCAAAATTTTACACACACACACCCAACTTAGGCCATGTTTTGTGTATCTTTCCAACTTACTGTATTTCTTCTCTTCTAGAATGTGAGCATCGTGTGTTTTTTCTTTCCTTGCATTGTTCACAGCTGTGGCTGCTGTCTCAGTACCTAGAATCATCCTCAACATGTAGGAGGCATTGGGCATCACTGATTAAGGAATGTAAGTAGGAATGAATGAACGAATATATTGTCAACTTGACTTTAAGGTGTGACTTCCAGGTGTGAACCCTCAACCTGTTACATATGTGATCTTTGGCAAACTAACCTGTTACAGAGACAATGATAGAGCCTACCTTATAGGGATGGTGTGCCTGATGCCCCACTGAAGAAACATCTTGCCAACGTCTTGCCCCACAAGATGGTGTGAAATTGAAATAATCCATGGAAAGAACATTGACACTTCACATACTGTTTCTACGGAGTACTTCTTCACATTTTATCATCATTGCACCTTCAGAGAGTTTACCTCGTCCTCTGTACGGATAAGACTGTCCTACTTTTGCCTACATGAAATGGTCACCCACATTCTCACCACGAACTTCCATGTGCGGCTGCTCCAGAACTTCATGGAGTTTCATTCCCCGGAGTTATGGTTCAACTTTAAAATTTGTAGGGTGAGCAGCTGGAAAATAGGTCAGTGCTTAAGAGCACCAGCTGCTCTTCCAAAGGTCTTAAGTTCAATTCTCAGCACCCACATGGCAGCTCCCAACCATTTGTAACACCAGTTCCAGGGGACCAAAGCCTTCTTCTGGCCTCTGAGGTCACTAGGCACGCACACAATGCACAGACATACATGCAGGCAAAACTCTCCACACATAAAAAGAAAACCACACACACAATTTTAAAATAAAATTTATAGGGGATCGCCGGGCGTTGGTGGCGCACGCCTTTAATCCCAGCACTCGGGAGGCAGAGGCAGGCGGATCTCTGTGAGTTCGAGGCCAGCCTAGTCTACAAGAGCTAGTTCCAGGACAGCCTCCAAAGCCACAGAGAAACCCTGTCTCGAAAAAAAAAATTTATAGGGGATCAAAACATGACATCATTCTGTTACTGATACTTAAGAACACGCCAGTTCATCTGGGCAAGATACTGACTATGCCAAGATCCCTAGTGTGGTTCCACACGAGGGGATGGGAGTGCTGTTCACAAAACTGAAGAGCTCCTTCCATTGCCTGCATTGAGGAATAACCTGGACTCGAACACCCCTTCAAAGCACACCAAACTGAACATGTTTGTTCTGCAATGAGGATTTGCTAATACTGGAATTGACAGGTTTCTATCAATTTACAGCAGTTGGGTGAACAATGAGTGAATGGGTGATCTTTGGCAACTAACTCTGATAGGAGTTTCATGTACTTATAGGCTGAAAGTACGTGTTTAAGTGTCCACTATTCCTGCATCTGTACAACCACCACACAGAGCCCCCTCAGCCCCCTCTGATTATGGGACCACGCCGTAGTGGGTATTTACCCCGCCCACGACCTTGGGCTACCCGGCCTGATAGAGATGGAGCTCCTTGTTTGCCGCTGTGACTGCTTTAAAAGTAAGAGGAGAGTAGTCTCACTCTCTCTTGTGGTGGTCAGAGATCTGATCACAGCTTCCAGCGCCCCTGGGCAGAATACCGTGGTGGCCGTCTGTCTTACTGTTATTCATGAGTGTTCTCCAATAAAAATATTTGATATCCTTTTATTCGGGCTCTCAATGAACTCCCTTAGTTCTGCCTACACCATTCATTCTTCTAGACCACATGTAAGCCTGGTTTGTCCACAGGAGTGACTCATGCCCTGGGGCACAAGGCATTGTCTAGTATCACAACCCCCTCAGGCAACTAGATCCTGGTCTTCAAGACTGAGTATAAAAGCTCCAGGAGAAACCGCAATGATGACCAAATAGGACAACCATCTTAGGCCACATAAAAGAATGAAGACACCGCGGAAATAAAGCTGAGGCAGGAGGGACAGAAAGAGATCCCTGGGCATTGGCATCCAACCCACATGAAGCTGCGCTTCCCTCGGGATTCTTGGGTATGTGAGCGGATGACTTTACTTTTCCCTGGCCTGGTTTGTTTGGGTTTCTGGAACTGTAAACCAGGGCATTCTCATGCTGTGGCTGGGCTAAGTGTGGAGGGATCCAGGGGAGGGAGTGGAGAAGTCCTAAGAAGACAAAGACAGGATGCTAAGAAGCATCTCCCACTTTTCAACAGGGGTTTCTTAGTGCCACATCCCTTTCATGATGCCCTACTTGGCCATCCCCATAACAGAGGACTCACTGGAGGGCAAAGGAAGGGGAAGAAGATGGTACCACTGGACTCAGTGCCCCGAGACAGGGTTGGGAGTCAGGAGAAGTGAAGTAGATGGAAGCCAACCTCCAAACCTCTGAGGCCTAAGAACGTAGCAGGTGGCCATACCCTCAGATTTTCCCACATATGTGTATATGGATGGGTGGAGGTTGTTGATGCTATTTAAATCAAAGCTTTCTCAGAAAGTCTTTTAAATGTAGAAACCACAAACCACATGCCCATGGGCTGACTTCTTCATATTGGCTGCAGGGTGCACCAGCATTCAAAACCAGAAAGATTAAAAAGCTATAGATTTCATTCCCTCAATATTTCCAGATTAACTCCCTCTCTTGCCCAGGCATATGATCTGTCAGCATGGGGTCCCATTCCCTCAAGACAGCATCAGCCGAAGTAGAGTAGTGGCTGCCTTCTTTGGCCAGCACATGGCCCTCCCATTGGCCACAGGCCTCACCCATTATGTGACCACGACAGCACTGCACATGGATTGCCTTTTATGGGAAACCCCTGTGTTTTTATCTAATGGTGGAGAAATAACTCTCTATACCTAAGTGTTTATCCATAGTGGGGAAATAAAAGAGCTCCCCCAACATACTGAATAGAACCAGTGAGACGGCTCGGTGTGTGAAGGTACCTGCCATGGAGCCTAACAACCCTGAGTCCCACACAGTGGAGGTAGAGAACTAACTCCCACAAGTTGTCCTCTGGCCTCCAAAGATATCCTTTGGCAGGTTCATGCCAAGGCACACACTCACACACACAAATGTAATTTAAAGATATTTTTAAAGACTGGTTGTATCATGACAAGTGGGAGAAAGCATGTTTGTCCATGGAAGTGAAGTAACTCTCTTGTGTTTAAGAAACGGAATTCTTGCTGGGGCAGTGGTGGCGCACGCCTTTAATCCCAGCACTTAGGAGGCAGAAGCAGGCAGATCTCTGTGAGTTTGAAGTCAGCCTGGTCTACAGAGCAAGTGCCAGGACAGCCAGAACTGTTACACAGAGAAACCATGTCTCAAAATAAGGAGAGAGAAAGAGAGAGAGAGAGAGAGAGAGAGAGAGAGAGAGAGAGAGAGAGAGAGAGAGAGAGAGAGAGTAGTAGTAGTAGTAGTAGTAGTAGTCTTAGAGGCTTTAGGGTACAAGTTACAGCTAAGCTAAGATTTTCTCTGGGGAAAAAAAAAGTTCTGCTGGGCATGATGGCAGGCATCTTCAATCCCAGCCCTCAGAAGACAGGAGGCAAAAAGATCTCTTTGAGTTTGAAGTCAGCCTGCTCTACATAGTGAGTTCCAGGCCAGCTAGGGCTAATGAGACCCTGGTTTGTTTGTTTGTTTTTTTTTTAAGAAAAAGAAAAAAGAAAACCTCTTCATGGTTTCCTATGAATCTCAGGCCTGTTAGCCTCAGGTGAGAACCCTGATTGCAAGAGCTGTGCAGATCTCTCTGTTTAAGTACTTCTGAGAAATAGAGGTTGCCTTGAGCGCTGTAGGGACTCTGTAACAGGATTGGACTGTGCAGTCAGAGGCATCGATCACAAGATTTCAATTCTGGGAAAGACACCATTTCACCTGTGCAAGACAGCGTTTATCTCCTTTCTCCTCCCCCATGGTGCTCTGACCTCGTGTCTCTTTTTTTCTCAATACACCAAGCCTGCCTCGGGGCCATTACTCCTTCTCAAGCGCACTTTCCCCAATATCCATAAGGCATTCTCTAAGTCCAGGCCTTTGTTCTGAAACACCTCCTTCCCCACTCCTTACGCCCGTCCGCGATCATCTGTTTGTGGTTAACTTTCACTTATGCCTATGCTGACACCTGTCATCACAGCAGTGGTGTATTTGCTGTGTTTACTATTTTTCCCCGTAGAAATGCAAGTAGAGACTCAGTCTGTGTCCCCACTGCTGTGTCTCTAATACTCTCAACAGCCTCTCCCTCCCCCATCCTCAGCTATGGTAGGCCCCACCCACCAGAACTCAGAAAATGAGACAACAGATGAACAAATTTGATCTTTTTTTATCCCCTTCTTTCCAGCTCGGGTCCCTTTAACTTTTTCGTTTTACCCATCGATGTGCTTTTTGGCTTGCTCTTGTGATAAGCGTCTCTCCTGGGATGAGCATCTCTCTTGGGATGAGCATCTCTCTTGGGATGAACCTCTCTCCTGGGATGAGCATCTCTCCTGGGATGAACATCTCTCCTGGGATGAACATCTCTCCTGGGATGAACATCTCTCCTGGGATGAGCATCTCTCTTAGGATGAGCATCTCTCTTGGGATGAACCTCTCTCCTGGGATGAGCATCTCTCTTGGGATGAGCATCTCTCCTGGGATGAACATCTCTCCTGGGATGAACATCTCTCCTGGGATGAACATCTCTCCTGGGATGAACATCTCTCCTGGGATGAACATCTCTCCTGGGATGAGCATCTCTCTTAGGATGAGCATCTCTCTCTTGGAATGAACATCTCTCTTGGGATGAGCATCTCTCTTGGGATGAACATCTCTCCTGGGATGAGCATCTCTCTTGGGATGAACATCTCTCCTGGGATGAGCATCTCTCCTGGGATGAACATCTCTCCTGGGATGAACATCTCTCTTTGGATGAATATCTCTCTTGGGATGAGCATCTCTCTCTTGGGATGAATATCTCTCTTGGGATGAGCATCTCTCTCTTGGGATGAGCATCTCTCTTGGGCCTACAACCAAGAGGAGCTCAGCTTTCATGAAGCTTTTCCTCAATCCCTTGTGAGTCTTACCTCCTAAAAATAGTATCTAGTAAAGAGCTTGGACAAGACTCACCTAATCAACAAACACATTCTTCCAATGTTCTGTGCCTTTGGGTTCACCTCCTTAAGAATGTCTTAGTGCAGTGATAATTCAAATAGTTCCAACGGGGGTAAGACCTCATGGGAGAATGCACAGAGAAGTTTTGCACATACCAGGAAAGATTAATTAGGGCCATCTTGGAAGATCCCAGCTAGCCTCATGGAAGAGAGGACCTTGATCAAGACCCTTAGTGGATATTAATATTTTTGTTGTTCAGAGTGACACCAGTGCACATGCCCAGGTGTATGTGTGGGGGTCAGAGGAGTCAACTGATGCATATGTGAGGGTCAAAGGACTCAGTTCCACCTTTACATGGTGTTGTGGTTTGGAAGAAAAATGACCCCCAAAGGGAGTGGCACTATTAGGAACTGTGGCCTTGTTGGAGTAGGTGTGGCCTTGTTAGAGAAATGCTCAAGCTACACTCAGTTCACTTCCTGTTGTCTGTGAATCAAGATGTAGAACTCTCAGCTCCTTCTCAAGCACCATATTTGCCTGCACTCCACCATGCTCTCCACCATGATGGTAGTGGACTAAGCCTCTGAAACTATAAGCCACCCAAATGAAATGTTTTCCTTTATAAGAGTTGCTGAGGTCATGGTGTCTCTTCACAGCATTGGACACCCTAACTAAGACGTGTGGGCTCCACAGTGGAGTCAGTTCTTTCCTTCCGCCTTTATGTGGATCCCAGAGATCAAACCCTGCTTGTCAGGTTTGTACAGCAAGGACTTTACCCACTGAGCCATCTGTCTAGACTCCTCTAAACTTTTGTTTTCTCATTAGTACCATGAAAAAGAAAATGGGTTGAATGCTCTACTAAGTTTCCTTTTCAGGTTAGAGGACTAGTTCAGTTAGTAAAGTGCTTGCCTTGTAAACACAAAGACCTGGGTTTGATCCCCAGAACCTGTATAAAAAGGAGGCAGGCATGATGGCACCCACAACAACTGCAGTGCCAGGAGGCAAAAACAGGTCCATCCTTGGGCCTCACTGGCCACCCAGAGTAGTCTAATTGGTGAGCTCCATGCCAGTGAGGAACCCCGTCTCAAAACAGCAAGGCTGACAGTGTTCAAGGAATGACAGCAGAGGTCATCCTCTGGCCTCCACACACATGTGCCTTGGCATGCATACAAATTTGTACACACACACATACACACCACAAGTTTTCTTCACATTTGAATTACCTCCAGCTTCTGCTCCATAACCTCCCAAAGAACAGTTGGTGGTGTCATTGGCCCTAGGCTTCTAAATGTATTTGACTTTCCAGACATGTTCACAAGGGTCAAAGTCTGCTGTGATAGTGTGGTAATCCAGACAGGCAAAATAAATGGGTATCAATAAACAACAAATTCCATTCCTGGCTTAGTCATAGAATTCTGAGAAACAACAGAACCAGATCAACCAATCAAGGGTGAGACTAACTTTAGACAAAAACATGTGGCAGAGCAAAAAAAGCAAGTGTCGCAAACCACAGCTCCCTCCACATACCATAGGAAAAGCAGCGTAAACCTTCTGAGAGGAGAGCCATCTGATCACATATGAACATTTTCTACACCTTAGCGAGCTAAAGTTATACTGGGCCAGCCTCACCATAAAGGAAGTCTAGCTGGGCTGGTAGTGGTGTGCACACCTTTAATCCCAGCACTTGGGAGGCAGAGGCAAGAGGATCTCTGAGAGTTCAAGACCAGCCTGGCCTACAGAGAGAGTTCCAGGACAGTCAGGGTTACACAGAGAAACCTGTTTTGCAAAACCAAAAAAGAAGGAGGAGGAGAAATATAGTCTATGAACATGCACTTACCCTTATATAATGACTGCAATCACCCCCCCCCCAGTACATTAGAGTATATATACCTGTTTTGGTAACCACCCTTTGATGATAATTGAAAAAAAAAACCCAACTTCGCATGTAAGCAAAACTAAGCTAAAATACCTTACCTAGATGGTTCTGTAGTTGCGAGCAGATCGACTTAGACACAATAGAGTGATGTGCACAAGGGTAACACTTAACACGGAAATGAAGTTGGTAGAGAAGGTTGCTTTTAAAGTAAGGCATTCAAATCATGTGAGTGCTAATCCAAAAGGTTTTAAAGATGTACTTATTTATGTGCGTGAATGTTTCAAATAACTGTGAGTGCTAATCAAAAAGGTTTTAAAGATGTACTTATTTATGTGCGTGAGTGTTTTGTCTGCATATGTGTCTGCAATACAGCATGAAGGCCTAGTGCCTGCAGGTATCAGAGGAGGGCATCGAATCCTCTGGAACTGGAGGAATAAATGGGAGGTAGGCCCTGGGAACTGAACCTGGGTCCTCTGCAAGAGCAAGTGCTCTTACCCATGGAGCCGTCTCTGCGGTCCCTTCCAGGTTGTTTGTTTTCTGAGACAGGATCTGACATTGTAGCTCTGGTTGACCTGGAACTCACAGCAGTCCTCCTGCATCAGCCTCCACAATGTTGAGATTACAGCCTAAATTACAACACCTGGCTTTCTCAGACATTATCAGGACTACTCTAGGGAAAAGTCATATTTTTCCTGTTTTGTTTTAATATGCTCCCAGACAAGAAGTATGTATTTGTATGCCAAAAATTCTAAAATAAACATTAAAGTCTTGTTTCTTATGAAACACACACGCACAGCGCACACAAATCTCTTTAGAATTTGGCTCCCAGCACCCATGGGCAATGACTCACAACTACCTGAAGCTCCAGCTCCAGGGGATTCAACACCCTCTTTTGGCCTCTATGGTCTCCTGCACACACACACACACACACACACACACACACACACACACACATACATGTACACATGCACACACATAATTAAAAATAAATCTTTGCAAATAGCTCTCTAGACATCATGGTCATAAATCCTGCCTTTTCCTTTGGCTTTTCCAGTACTTACTGGGAAGATTTTTTATTGCAAATTCCTCAGAACAAGTTTCTCTCTCTCTCTCTCTCTCTCTCTCTCTCTCTCTCTCTCTCTCTCTCTCTCTCTCTCTCTCTCTCTCTCTCTCTCTCTCTCTCCCATTAAAAAGCACATTCTTCCAAGAGGCAAATTTGTCTAGCAAAGTCATTGGGCAATTACTTGTCATTGTCGACATAATATTTTAAGCTCATGGTCTACAATGCATTCTACTCTGCCACGGCTCCCAGGCTTTACCCAGCCACACACTTATTGTCAGCTAGATTAATTGTATTGTGCTCTGTGGACTCCAGCTGCAGAATTACAAGAATAAGAATGGGCATAAGGAGCAGGGGAAGTGGCTCAGTTGGTGAGTTCTTGCCATACAAGTGTGAGGATCCTAGTGCGGGTGTCAGCACCCACATAAAAGCTAGACACACCCATGCTAGGCAAGGAGTGAGACACACAGAAAGAGGGGTCCCTGGAATGTGGTGGCCATGCATGCAGCCAGCCCAAACTGGTAAGCTTTGGGATCAGTGAGTGTATTTGTCACTTTTCTGTTGCTGTGACAGAACACCATGAACACCACAACTTTCAGAAGGAAGAGTTTATTTGGGGTTACAGTGCCAGAGGAGAAGACATGGCATCAGGAGAGCAGAGCAGGAAGCTAAGAAGGCACATCATCTTCAACTGTAAACACAACACAGTAGAAGCGGAGTGGGACGAGGCTATGAAGCTTTAAAACTGTCTCCAGCGGCATGCTTCTTCCAACAAGGCTTCACCACCTTACCAAATAACACTACAGCCAAGCGTGCAAATACCTGAGCCACTGGGGGCCACTCTCATTCAAACACCACAGTGTGAGAGACTGTCTCACAAACTAAGATGGAGAGCAACTAAGGAAACTTGACCTCAGCCTCTGCACATGCACACACACACACACACACAGGCACACACACGCACACACACGCACACACACGTGTGTATGCAAGCATGTGAACATTTGCACATCTATACAAAATCCACACACACCACAAAATAGCATTGAAAATTATTAATAGGATGATCACTGTAGCAGCTGGAAAATTAAGAGATAGTTCTAGGACAACAACCTACAAAAGACCACAAAATAATAAAATGCAAAGTACCAATGTTTACTCAAGAAGAAATGGACAATTTGTATAGCCCTGTTTCTATTAAAGAAAAAAATCAGGTTCAAAAGACTTGGGTGAATTCTGCCAAATACCTACTGAATAATACCCACTGTACATAAACTCTGTAAATACAAAATACAAAATATCTGACAGTTTTTTATCATAGTAAACATACACTTATTTTCAGACCCAGTGATACATATATTCCATTTCCTAGAAATGTCTAATCTGTCTTGCAAAATGTTATAAAATGAAATAATATAGTATGTAGTCTTTTATATAGTTACTAGCATACTGCTTTCTAGAATAACTTATGTTTTAACAAGCATTATTTGATGACTAGGATGTAATATAATTTGTTTATGGATTCTATTAGTTAACTTACAGTGTTTTTAGTAGTATGAAAAAGCTACCAGCATTCATATATGAATCTTTTTGTGGACATACAAGTTTGTTCCTCTTGCATATGAATCTGGGAGTGGTATACTGGGTCAGAAAATAAGTGTACGTTTACGGTGATAAGAACTTACCAGATATTTTGTTAAAATAGAATTTTAGAAAGCTCAGGTAGAATGGATATTATTTCTTCACTAGGTGTTTGACAGAACTCACCCATGAAATCCCTCCTTCCTATACATATAATATTATATTTTAAAGAACAACAACAAATGATCTATTGTTTTCCATTTCTCCTGCTTGACTCAAAGTTCAACAGAAAAGCCTATGCTTTTTCCACCTGCAGAGTAAATCTGCTGTCTCTTTCATGATCTGTCCTTCTCTCCTCTTCACCTTTCTCCTTCTCCAGTCCTTTGTCATCTACAAACTACACAATATTTTTCCCTCTGCCTAGAATGACCTCTCTCCTCCAAATTCCTCCCATATCTAATAATCGTATTAGTCATTTCTTTGTCTTATCTAAGCCATTATTTCCTTTGAATAACTCCCTGTCTTAGCTACTGTTCTGTTGCTATGAAGAGACAGTATGCCCAAAGAGACTTACAGAAGAGAAAGTTTAATTGGAGGCGTGGCTACAGCTTCAGAGGGTGAGTCTACTGTCTGGGGCGCATGGCAGCAGGCAGGTAGGCGTGGTGCTGATTCACAGACAGCAGACACACAGAGAGGGACTGGGCCTGGTGCGAGCTTTTGAAACTTCGAAGTTCACCCCCAGTGACACACCTCCTCCATCAAGGTCAAACCTCCTAATCCTTCCCGACTGTCCACCAACTGAGAACCAAGTATGCAAACCTATGAAACTATGAAGGCCATTCTCATTCAAACCGCCACAGTCCCCAGCCCTGTCCAGCCCCCATCCCCAAATGTGTCCATAATGCCTCTGCATCCAGATCCGAGTGGATTAGCACCGACCATGCTATTCAAATAGCTTGTCTTCCCAGCTACCCTGTGCATTCCATCAGCTTGAAGGCTGCAGGTGTTTTGTTTACTTTGGCGGCAGTAGTAATAGTCATGACTTAGTCCATTCAGGCTGGAGAATAAAACTCCTTACCCTGGGACGTTCAGAAACTACAGAGATGTATGGCTCACACCTGTGGCCCTGGGAAAACAAGATCGTGTGTCTACAGATTCCTCACCTGCTGAGGGCTTGCTCTCGCCTTCAAAGGTGGCCCCTTCTGATTGTGATGCCACACAACACTAAGGGCAAACACACTCCCTCAGACTGCTTTACAAGGACGTTAATCTCATTTTGAGATTCACACCTTACTCATCACCGTGTCTCTCCATTGGAGAGTAGCGAACTGCAAGAGAACAGAGATATTTTTAAAAGAACATTGGCTATTATTGATTAGGTACCTCATGCAGGCCGTGATTCTCAACTTTCCAATGCTATGGCCCTTTAATATAATTCCTCATGTTCTGGTGACCACCCCTCACCATAACATTATTTCATTGCTCCTTATTAACTGTAATTTTACTACCATTATAAATCATAACATAAATATCTGTGTTTTCTGATGGTCTTAGGTGACCCCTGTGAAAGGGTTTTGACGCACTGGCATGCCACAATCTTTCCCCGTAGGCCTCATTAAGATCGGATTTTGCAGATCAAGAGCCTGAACTTCGAAGAAACTTTAACCTCAGCTGTATTAGCATTCCAAGAACAATACTGATAAACAAGACAATTATCACCATGCCTCCAGTTTCCTAGTATGACCCTTGTCGGTAAATAGACTTCCAACAATATTTGCAGAATTGATCTGAGGTTGTACCTGGAATAGCAGCTCGGCTGGGTAGAGGAGAGACGGCCAATGCTCATGAACTTGGCTCCATCTCAGGGTTAGGACCAGGTGATCCAGTGCTGGACACACCCCCAGCACTCCTCTTGTGGCTGTACCAGCCCACACAGTAGCTATTTTACATCCAGGGGGCAGCACCTAGACGCTGCTCCTGCCATGAGTCTTCCTTCTCAGGCTGACTTGGAGGTCCTCCCAGAGGGAAGGGGCTGATTCTATAGGCCAACCTCACTTTGTTCCTTGTCATCATCCTGGGCATTCTGAAGGCTGTCTTAGCTAGCTACTAAGGCAAGGATATGCCACCAAGGGATGGAAATGCCCCTGATAGTAGTCATCCCTACACACCTGCCCCTTAGAAGAGGGTCCTCAGAGAACAGCTCAGAACTGAGTGAACAAGACAGCACTGTTTCTAACCTTGGATCCCACGGTGACACCTGAGGAATACATGAAATCCTGATGCCTAAAATGCATCCTGAATTAATTCAGCCAGCATCTCTGGGGTAGGACCCATGTATAACATCTTTAATGCCAGGGAGATTCCACAGCAGGGCCCATGAAGAATCGTTCAGGCATGCTCTCCCTCAGGGCCTGGCCTTCCTTTAGTTTCGTTGCTGGCACAGCGGCTGAACCTACTGTTGCTGAACGCTGCTCCACAACCACTGGCCCACTGCTCAAGCCAAGGCCCAGCAGGACTTCAGGGTCCCACCAGAACTGCCTCTGCCTCTGCAGACAAACCAAGTTTTTAGCTCAGTCTCTATTGTCTTATTTTACCAATAAAGACTTGGGAGTCAGATACTGGGGTGAAAACCTGCTAGCTCAGAGGCTGGGAAGCAACCAGCTGGCTTTCCTCCTCAGCAGGGGACTCAGCAAGATGTTGTGGAATAATCTTTTTGTACACCATGAAGACATGTCACTCTGATTGGTTTATTAAAAAAGCTGAGCAGCCAATAGCTAGGCAGAATTTCCAGGCAGGGAGAACACTAGGAAGAAAAAGGCAGAGCCAGGCCGTCTCGGAGGAAGCAGGAAGAGCAAAATGGAGATGAGGTAATGAGTGCATGGAAGAATGTAGATTTAAAAGATGGGTTACGCCAGGCGGTGGTGGAACACGCCTTTAATCCCAGCACTCGGGAGGCAGAGGCAGGCAGGTCTCTGTGAGTTCGAGGCTGGGATGCTCCAACAGCCTCCAAAACAATACAGAGAAACCCTGTCTTGTAAAAACCAAAAAAAAAAAAAAAAAAAAAGATGGGTTAATTTAGTTATAAGAGCTAGTTAGGAACAAGCCTAAGTGAAGGCCAAGCTTTCATAATGAATAGTAAGTCTCTGTGTCATTTTTTTGTGAGTTGGCAGCCCAAAGGAAAGTCTGACTACAAGGAAGACTCTTGCGACATTGCAAATCAAAAAAGGACCATCACACTCAAAATCCCTCCCTACTACTTCCTGTGTGTTTCTCTATCCATTTTCTGGACTCCTTCTAACTCTCTATGACTACTTCCTGTCAACTAGTTGCTGGCTCTGCCTCTAGACCCAAGGTTTTATTTAATTAACAAAAAAAAAAATCCCGGGGTTCACAGTGTGATCAAATACCCCCACAGCATTTCCTGGCACAGAGCTAGAAAGCAGTTGACACTTCCTATAATGGATAGGATAGATGGCCCCAAGGAGCAAAGCATCTTGTAATCTTGCCTTGTATATGGTTATATAAGCCTCATGGAATCCAGGCAGCCCTTTGTGGCCAGCCGCCCTGAGCCCTGTGTCATTTAACATTCTTTGCCTTCTGTATATGGCCATAAGGAAATTCTCTGACCTTCTTCTGTGGTGGTAGATCAGAAGATCCTTCTAGAAAGGTCCTGTTCCATACACAGGAGGAAGGAAAGTCATACAGAGAAGCCAAGAAGAATCTGAACAAATAGGCCTTACTGGATTCTCACCCCCTCACACTATTCCCATTATATCATGTCCCTTAGTACAATTGTGACTCTGCAGATGTGCAGCCTTCCTAGAACCTATAGACCTGTCACGGGCTTTGGGGTTCTGGATTCTGAAGGATCGATCCCACATCAGGTAAAACCACGATTAGACCAACTTCATAGCTTTAGCCTCCTGACTTTAGCTAAGATAGTGTTGGCCTTGGCTCTTTGTGTGTGGAAGAAGTTACCTCCCTCTAAAGTTACATAGCTGAACAATTCTTTGATCTTTTTTAAAACAAGAGTTGATAGGTGGTGCTGTGAGTCAACTGGGAGCTTGTAAGAAATGCAGGTAACCTCTGGCAGGTTCACATATGGCTCAGTTTGGGTTTCTATTGCTTCGAAGAGACAGCATGACCACAACAACTCATATAAATAAAACATTTGGGGCTGGAAAGATAGCTCAGAGATCAAAAGCACCAGCTACTACATGGTGGCTCCCAGCATTCGTAATGAGATCTAATGCCTCTTCTGGTGTGTAGGCATACTTGCAGGCAGGACACTGTTTCCACAGTCAATCAATCAATCAATCAACCTTTAAAAAAAGAAAGGAAGGGAGGGAGGGAGGGAAGGAGGGAGGGAGGAAAGGAGGGAGGGAAGGAGGGAGGGAGGGAGGAAGGAAACATTTAATTGGGGTGGCCCATCATGATGGCCAGCAGCATGGCAGCAGGCAGTCCCGCATCTTACAGGAAACAGGAAGTCGACTGAGACACTGGATGGTATCCTGAGCATAGGAAACCTCAAAGCCCTTCCCCACAGTGACACACTTCCTCCAACAAGGCCATACTCACTCACCCACTCCAGCAAAGCCGCCTCTCCTAATAGTACCACTCCCTATGAGATTTTGAGGGCCAACTAAACTTAAACTACCACAGCGTCCTTGAGTGTACAAGCTGTGCTCACACATTTCCAATTTTATTTTATTTTTGGAATAGACATTTCATGAGGGAAGTCTGATGGGCTATTGAAATATGTCTTGGGGCTTCAGTTCATACCAGGTCCTACCTCCAACTGCATCTCAGCAGTCGTGCTGGCTTGTGGTGAGAACAGGCCCTTGCTTCTGGAGTCTGAACACAAACAAAGGGATGGTGATTAACGCACATCACATAGAGCCAAGTCTGTGCAGTCCCCACCCCAGGCTGTGGACCATTTCTCTGGAACCAGTTGCCATCCCCTCAGCCAGCTACCGAGCATGTCCTGGCATGAAGCTAAGATCCTGTGAGCAGGGGTGTTCATCTGCCACAGATGGACCACTGTATCTGTGGGAAGAAAGATTGGCCACCCCAAGCCAGGATAAGGCCAGTGTTTTCCTTTTGCCCAGAATCAGGCTCCCTCTCTTCATGCAAAATAGAGCAAAAGTGTCCAGCCACCCCAAGCATGTTAGTTGAGTCTGCTCTTAGCTTTAGATCTTCTCTCTCTCTCTCTCTCTCTCTCTCTCTCTCTCTCTCTCTCTCTCTCTCTCTCTCTCTCTCTCTCTCTCTCTCTCTCTCTTTATTTCTTTCTTTTTTTGGTTTTTCAAGACAGGGTTTCTCTGTGTAGCTTTAGAGACTACCCTGGAACTCACTCTGTAGACCAGGCTGACCTCAAATTCACTGAGATCCGCCTGCCTCTGCCTCCCGAGTGCTGGGATTAAAAGCATGTGCCACCACTACCCAGCTTTATCTCTCTTTTCAATAACATTTTATTCATTCTTTGAAAGTTTTATACATGTGTACTGTTGTAACTTTTTAAAAAGTGCAAGAGGGAAAGGTACCATGTGACAGAGTAAAAGTGGTTTGTTCGTTTGTTTGTTTAATTAGGGAAAGGGGACATAAAAAGGAAAGGGGAAAGGGAAGACCAACCTCTGGGGACAGGAACTGCAGGAGAGAGGAAAGAGAAAGAGAGACAGAGGGAGAGGGGGGATGGAGGGAAGGAGGGAGGGATGGGGAGAGAGAAAGGGAGGGAGGGGGAGGGAGGTGGGCAGGGTCCCTTTAAAAGGGAGCATAGTGAATCTGTACAGGTGGTCCTCTTAGTGGCTGCAGCTGAGGGCATATCCTGTCAGAACCCCAAGGACAGGCCACTACAGATGCCTGAATACTAACATATATAATGTATTTTGATGTTATTCCTCTACTACTCCCCCTTCCAGCCCCCAACCCCTAGGCCTCTGTGCCCAAATACATGTTCCTTCCAATTTCACACTCTCTTAAAAAATCATCCCAATAAATGTGATCTCTGGGGGAAAATAGACCTCAGGATAGGATGAAAACTTTGTGAGAGTGAGGTATATGCATTTTCTTTTTCTGTTTTCTTTCATCTTTTCTTTTGTTTTTGTTTGTGTTTGAGTGTGTTGTTGTTGTTGTTTTCTGAGATAGGCTGTCATTATGTAGCTCTGGCTGTTCTGGGACTCACTCTGTAGACTAGGCTGGCCTTGAACTCACAGAGATCTGTCTGACTCTTCCTCGCAGGTGCTGGGATTAAAGATGTTCACCACTACACTGGGTTGAGTGAGTTATTGTCATTAAAATCTTTTTAAACTTATTCCTTGAGAATTGCATACATGTATGCAATATATTCTTCCTCTTCTGATTACCCCCATAGCCAAAAAAATTCTCTGAATGGCCCACGGAATGATCTATGATCACCATATTTGGTGTTTTGAATGAGTGGATTTGTTAAATTTACAGCAAGCCAAAGTAAAAGAATGAACAAGTAATAGGAGATAGATAGATAGATAGATAGGATAAATCAATAGATAGGTAGATGATAGATTCACAGATGATAAATGGATGAATGATAGAGACGAGTAATAGATGGATAGATAAATGAATGAATGGATGGATGGAAGATAGATGGATGGATAATAGCAAAACATCATCTAATTGGACATACAAAGCTTCTAGCAGAAATCAAATGGGGAGCATGAACCTGTTGTTTTACCTGTGGCACAACAGCTGCACCTGATCCTACTGCTGACTGTGCCTCCTCAGCCACTGCTGCTGTCTTGCTGCTGGAACCTCGGCCCAGGGGTAGCCTTCTCATCCACTACCACCTCATCTGTCTCCATATAGAGAGGCAAATGTTGTTTTCACTAAGTCTTTATCTTTTTATTTTACTAATAAAGACTTGGGAACCAGATGCTGGGGTGAAAACCTACTATCTCAGAGTGGCAGAGAAAGCAGCCAGCTCACTTCCTCCTTGGTCATCATCTCAGAAAGAGAGCTTATTCCTAACCCATATGAAACAAAATTCCTCCAACTGGACTGTGCCTCTCTCTCTCTCCAACCTCCAGACTTCCTCTCACTCTCTATGGTTACTTCCAGTCAACTGGTTGCTTGCTCTGCTCCTTGACCTATGGATGATTTTATTTAAATAACTCTATCTCAGGGTTCACAGTGTGATCAAATATCCCTCAATGCAGGTCCACTTCCAGAGCCAGATTCTCAGTGAGCTCAAACAGTACATGGTAATTTCCCAATATAATGTGATATACAGTGTCCCCTTCCCAAGTTCACATCTCCTACCCCTCCCTTCCCCCTCCCTCCTTCTCTCATCCTTTTTCCTTCAATGATGTACTACTATTCTAGTCTCCTTTCTGTTGCTATGAAAAAACACTTTGACCAAAACCAACTTGGGGGATGAAAAGATTTACTGGAGTTACACTTCCAGGTCATGGTTTACCATTGACAGAAGTCTAGAGAGGTGTTTCTCATAGGACTTTTTTGGACCACCAGCTCCCAAATAACAACACAGAGACTTCTTAATTATGAAAGCTTGGCCTTAGTTTAGGCTTGTTCCCAACTAGCTCTCATAACTTAACCTATTTTTATTAATCTACATTCTGCCACATTGGCATTTACCTCTCCTTTATTCTGTACATCTGACTTCTTAGGGTATTGCTGGTGTCTCTGGAATGCCTAGATTTCATCTTCAGTTCCCCTCTCCCTCCAGAAGACCCTACCTATTTTCTCCTTCCTAGTTATTGGCTCTTCAGCTCTTTATTAAACCAATCAATGCAACACAACTTTAACAGTGTACAAATGTCCTGCAACAGAAGTCATGGCAGGATTTTGAAGGCAAGCCTGCTCACTATTACACACAGCATTCCCTCTGACCAACCAAGTACAGCAGAAACCACGGAGGAGTGCAACATGATAGCTCCTTGCTGACTCATCCTTAGCTAGCTTTCTTACAGCTTTACAAGCCAGGACCACCTACTCAGGGAATGGTACTGTCCACAGTAGGCTGGGCCTTTCTATATCAATTAACGGACAAGAGAATCCTGCCCAAAAATGCCCACAGGCCAGTCTAGCCTAGACTATTACTTACTTAAGACTCCTTTCTCAGGGAACTCTAGGCTGTCAAGTTGACAGTTAAGGCTAACTAGGACAACCGCTGAATCCAGTTAGTGCTGGTCCCGTGTGCATGCTTGTGAGGCCTTCCACTGGAACATGGGCAACCTACCAGTCACCACGCTCCCAAAGCAAAATGACCCTCTATAGTCAGACTTTCCTTTATGCCACTAGCTCACAAATAACAACACAGAGATGTATTATGCCACTAGCTCTCATAACTTAACTAACCTGTTTCTATTTATCTACATTCTGCCATGTGGCTTGGCTTCCTCTCCTCTGTACCATATGTCCTGCTTCTTCAGTGTCTTGCTGGTATCTCTTGCATGCCTAGGTTTATCCTGAGTTCCTCTCTCTCTGCCAGGAAGTCCCACCTATTCTCTCCTGCCTAGCTATTGACCATTCATCTCTTTATTAAACCAACCACAGTATACACAAATATTCCACAACAACTCTCTCTCCTGCAACAGTCACCAACAGTCAATAGCACCAATGTTCCTTCCCTATCCATGCTGGAATTTTGACTGACTTGATCTTGTGCAAGTAACCACAGATGCTCTGAGTTGAGGAGGGCAATGGCCATGCCATGTCCAAATGATAGTACTTTGCAGTCCACTTTCCCATCCTTGGGCCTTTACATTCCTCCCAAGCCCTGTTCTGTGATGCTCCTGTAACCTAGGTGACAGGTATTCATACAGATGTCTCCTTTAGGGATGAGTACTCACAGTCCCTTATTCTCAGCACATGGATCAGTTACAAGTCTCTGTTAAAACCATTCCCACTGGAAACAAAGCTTCTGTGACTAAGGTTGAGAGAAACATCAATCTATGAGTATAAACAAATGTTTAAAGGTAACTTTGACAACATGACCAGAAACATCAATCTTTGAATATAAACAAGTACTTAGAAAACAATATCACCATTCAGCAAAACAGCAATAGCAGATTGGATCTACAGCCTCTCCAGGATAACCCTGGCCTTCCAATCCTCCTGCCTCCTCCTGCACACATGTGCACACAGCCATGCTAAGTTTTTTGAAGTGCTAAAAATCAAATCTAGTGCCTTATGCATTCTGGGCAGTTGCTGACTGAGCTACAACCCAGGAGGCTAATTTGTTTTATTCTAGAATTGGGCAACATTTTATTCCATGGAAGGATTTTAATAGACTTAGCAGAGGGGCTTGATCTTATAGGTTAAAAGATCTGAAATCAGTAAAAGTTGAAAAGAAAAAAAATAAAGGATGAATTTGTCGTGTCAGACTGCTCTCGTGATAAGGCATCAGGCTGAGAGATACAAGAGTAGAAAAATGTATGATTAGTATTGGATCACTTCAGATTACCTATTTTGGAGAAGGACTAAGGCTGAGAGAGAACCAGGATTAAGGCTGAAGGAGAACCAGTATTGTGCCAGCTGAAGCTGCCTCTGGGGAAATCCAGCTGTTATCTTTCTCCTGATTTCTTGGAATGTCAGATACCAGTCTAGTTTCTGTTTAGTGTGGCTTAGGAACCTGGTCCATGATGACCTGCAATTTTCACTTAACACTATACAGTCTGTCATACAGTGTGCAAATGAGCAGCCAGTTGAGGGGGCACTAGGAAGGGGCGCCCTGTGGGCTTGGGATGAGCCAGCCTCTTCCAGGGTAGATGTGTTCTCCACTCCAGAAGCTCTTCAAACCCTGTCACTGAGATTCTGCGGGCAGTCCTGTTAAACAGACAGGGTCAGTCATCGGTTATTGTGTTAGCTTTCTGTTGACGTAGCCAAACACTAGAAATAATGAATTTAATAGTTACATTTTCGGAGCCCACGGTCACGTGTTCCACATGGCTGTGAACGATGGTAACGTGATGACAGAGAAAAACTGTTGATCTGATGACAAACAGAAAGTAAGCAGAGAAGGACGGATGTTGGGGTGCAGGGGGGTTGATATCCCTTTCAAGGGCACATCCAGAAATGAACTGACTTCCTTCTACAAGGCCCCACCTCTTAAAGGTACAGCAACATGATTATGCCCGTCTTAGGACCAAGTCAGTATATGGCCTTTGGGGGGGGCATTTTAAATTCCAAACTATAATTGTCATTGAAGGTAGCCTGCAGCCCCTATCCCTCCCTAGGAACCAAGGAGCAGAACTTTCGTTTTCAGAGTGTGTGTGTGTGTGTGTGTGTGTGTGTGTGTGTGTGTAAGAACCACGGTGCATGTATGGGCAGAAGACAACTTTGAGTAGTTAGTCCTTTCCTTCTGCCTTTGCCTGGATTCCAGGTACAGAATTCAGATAATTTGGGCAATTAAAGAGAAGCTTCTCTTTGCGGTTGTCAGCAGTGTCCTCAGTTCAGCCACCTCCTCATCCAGCTTGCCCTCTGTCCCTCTGTCTTGTCCTTAAAGATAGAAAACGCTTACACTGATTTTATTTCTGTAGGGATGTGTCTGTACACACATGTGTCGCACTGCCCATGTAGAGGCCAGAGGACAATCTGGGAACTGGTTTTCTCCTTCCACCATGTGGGTCCTAGGGTTCCAACTCAGAGAAAGCATCAGGTTTAACCGATGCACTCTTACCCACTGAGTAACCCATCTCCCTAACCCTCCCTCCTCTGCTCTCTTCAGCCTCTCCCAAAGACTTTAAACCTTCCCCTGAGAGCCTGCCCTCAATATAGAACCTGTCTGGAAGCTTCCAGAGAGCCCAGCCACAGACTCACTGGAACTTCTGCTCCCCATGGGGACCAGTCACACAGAATGCCGTGGGTCTTAATGACACTGAGAATTTCCTGAAGTTTAACCTGTTACCATCGATTTCCTGTGACATCTAGCCCTGCACAGACAATGCCCTTCACAGACAATGCCTTGCACAAATTTCTCAATAGATGTAGAAAAAGTACCATATTTTAAGATTGTCTGCACAGCTAGGCTGGGACACATTATTCTTTTTTTCTTGAATTCATATTCTGTACTCCTGCCCCAAAAGCCTAGTGCAGCAACAGGTCAATTCTCAACTCAGAGGATGAAGGCAAAGGACTTGAGAGACTGTCTGAAGCCACCAGGGAATGCCACCAGGCCACTGGCATTTCAGCTAGTCATCAGAGACATGGAAGGCCTGGGGTATCTTGCTCTGCCCAATCAGGTTAAACAGTCCCTACGAGTGAACAAGTGTGGCAAGGTTAAACAACTGTTTTTTTCACAGCCGTGTTGTGTGGGTTCCTGTGGGGGAGAACCAGAACGTTTTGGTAATCAGCTGTTGCCATCAAACGCTGGCTTACAATGGGCTGTCTTATTTCCTGTCCTTATCAAGTCAGAGTTCTTGGTACTGTTGAAAGGAAGGATTACTCTCAACAGGAAACTCGAAAGGCTCCTTACCTAATGTTCTTGCCCAGTTACTACTAAGCGTGAAAGCGACAGGTCAGCCAGATACTTCCACTGGACTGCAGGGTGGAGGAAAACACATTGATTGTGCTCCTCATCCAAGTCCCACCCAGTGGGGTGTGTTTAGTGTACCGAACTTCCCACTGTCCTTTGCAGCGTGACAGGGTGCTACCACATCTTGCTTCCTGTTTGGAAGAAAGAGAACGCTGCTCCTCGAGGGAGTGACCATCGTGCTTCTTCCCGTCTGGAAAGGTCTTGGTGATTGTACGAGATGCTACCAAACCTTTCTGGGGTGCTTGTTGACTTATTAGGCATCCGGAGTGAGGGAACAGATGGTGGTGGAAAATGGCACGCATCCACTCTACCAAACACTAGCTGGTGCATTAGCTCTATTCATCCTGCTCTCCCCCACAGTTCTGTGAGCTAACACTCACAACATTTGCATTTTGCATAAGAACTAAACTGGGTTAAGAGATAATCAATCATTTGCCCTAACAGACATTCCAAGTGGCAAAGGTGAGTTTCACACCCAGCCAGACTGGCTCGGAGGACAGAGTTATACTACTTTACCTAATGTCACAATAATTACTAGTCACATTTCTTAAGTGTCCCCCACGCACCAGTAGTAAGGCAGAGTTCTTCATAGGTACGCCTTTAATCTTCATTAAAACAAAACCATCAGATAATTATCATCACCTTGCTGAAGCCTACAAAGATTGAGTAACTTGCTCCTGGCAAGCAGCAGTGAATGAAGGAAGCGGCTGTCCAGACTGTGCGGTGCACAGGCTTTTCTGCTCTTGCTCACGAGCTGTGAGCTTTTCTCTGGGCAACAGATGCACACAACTACGACTGTGACGGGAAGCAGATTTCTCCTCCCCTTAGCAAGCGCCTAACAAGATGATGGAGACTGATCTGTAGGATGCAGGGACTCTAGTCTATTTCCCCATCCAGCACCTCCTTCCTTCTGTAAAGAAGACTGTTTCTTTTTTCTGTTAGGGTGTGTTGTAGTTTTCAGGTGTTACTGTGATGACATTTTGTTTATGCTATGACAGATAAAACTTGCCTGAAGATCAGCGTGCAGAGCTAGCCACAGCCATAGAGGCCGGGCAGTGGTGACACACATCTTTAATCCCAGCACTCGGGAGACAGAGGCAGACGGATCTGTTAGTTCAAGGCCCCCCGGGACACACAAAATTGATTCAGTCTAAAAGAGAAACAGAGCTCACACAAAGGTGACCCTAGCACTTGTGATCTCATGCCTTTAATTCCAACACTGGGGAGGTAGAGGTAGGAGTGATATGGCAGGGTGGAGGCATGGTAAGGTAGGAGGAGACAGGAGCTCAGTGCACTCTGAGCAGCAATCAGTCTGAGATGCAGTCTGAGATGCAGTCTGAGGTGCAGTCTGGGGATGCAGTCTGAGATGCAGTCTGAGGACAGGATCACCCCTTTGGGCTGAGCATTGGTAGAGGTAAGAACTCTAGTGACTGGCTGCTCTGCCTCTCTGATCTTCAGCTTTCACCCCCTGATAGCTGAACACCAAGGTTTTATTATTATTAAGACCAAAGAGAATTCATGCTACATGTTACTATCACAAATGTCCTTCGAATCAGTGGCTCCAAACAACACAAATTTGGAAACTTATGGCTCCAGAACTCAGAAGTTCAAACTGAGCCTCACTAAAATAACATGAAGGTGTCAACAGGACTCTTCTCCTTCTAGAAGCCTGGTGTAATGTGTCTTCCCTTGCCCTCTTTACCATCTAGAAGCTTCTCACATTCCTTGGCGATAGAGCCTCCCTTCAAAGCTAACAACATCTAGGCATAGTCTTGTCTTATTCCCTTGTCTCTGTTTATTCCTCCCTTCTCCCTTCCCCTCTGAAGGACCCCTGGGGACTCCATTGTGCCTCCTGGGTGGTCCAGGACACTCTCCCCATTTTAAGGTAGCTGATTGGCAGCTTCATGTCCCTTTGCCATGTGACCCTCGAATAGGTTGGAGGGGTTGGGAAAATCTCTCTGGGGGAAAGTTGCTCAGCTTTTCACAAGGAACTTCCCTTCCCTCCGCTATTCTAATTCAGAGTGTCAACTCAGTGGGTACAATGGTGCACTCCTGCAGGCTTAGAACTTGGGAGGTTGGGTTCAGGGTTAGCATTGGATATGTCTTGGACAACAGCCTGAGCTATCTGAGATTCTGTCCTGGCTTGCCCCCTCTCTGTCCTCCTCTCCTTCCCCCTCCACCTCCCCCTATTCTCTCTCTCCCTTCCTCCCTCCCTCCCCATCTCTCTCTTTCTCTCTTCTTAAAGCAGACAACTCAATAACCTTGACTCAGAGAATGGACTTGTAACTTTGGCTAGAGTTCATGGGGAAGAGATACTTCCGTTCCCACGAATTGAGCTGACGGGGGAGGGGTGTGACCTCTTCCTTATCAGCTCAGAGTACCTCTGTGTAAAGTCAGTTACGAATGCTTGGGACTGTCCTTCCTGCTGGTAGCTGTTGTGTCCACCATCTCTCAAACATGGAATGAGTTTTCCTAAAATACAGGTTCTTCCTGCTATTTCTCCAAGAAGAGTCTACGGAGTCCTGGAAATTGCTTTTAAAAAAGAGATTATAATATATAGCACATTACATATTATATTTTATAACTAAATAATGTCTCCTTGGGTGGGCTACGATCATATTTCATTGTATACATGTATGGAATTCTCAAGAATAAAGAAAAATTATAATAAAAATAAAATAAGATCTCTTTAGTGGCGCCCCAAAAAGCCTTCTCTTGGCAGGCTTGTGAACAGCAAGCAAACTAGAATCTGGCTAGAAGTTTACATATTTTGTAAAAGTGATGAAGCTTTTCTTTAAAAAACAAAGCAAAACAAGACTTGCTTATATTTGTGGGTCCTAGATTTTTTTACAGATACATAAAGTATGCACACATATACATGTATACATATGTATGTACATATGTATATGTGACATGGAAGCAGAAGGGAAATGGGGGAAGGAAGGAGTCTGCAGGGAGGAAAGAGGAGAGGCATAATATAGTTAAATAGATATACACTTGAAAGAAATTGTCTTTATGAAATCTAACACTATAATATAGCAAGTATGTAACAGGGATAAAAAAAGGAAAATTTGAATTTTAATACATCTCTTCAAACTCTTTATACAACTCTAGCTAAGTTCTCTTGGCAGCCATTCTATAGCATTGTCAGAGACCTGCTCATCTGTACTGACCTAGACTTGATGGAAGATGACAAATGTCTAGGCTACTGACAGATTTTGATATATAGACCCTGTCAGAATGGCCTTCTGGATGCACAGAGAACCTGCTTGAGGGGGTGTTCAAGGCATTCAGACAAGTCCAGAAAGGCAGAAGCATGTCCAACTTGGCATTCTGTTACAATCTGCATTGCTCTTTGGCAAACCTCTCCACGTCCTTGAATGTCCTTGAAGCATAGATACAGCTCGAGATCTATGGATCCAGTTCAAGGACTGGGGATGACAGTTTCATCCCAGGAACTATGTCTCTAAGCTGTAGAAACACATAAGGTCTTTTCTCACTTTCCTTACATTCATCTCCCTCTA